CCCTCTTAGAGCTTACTGTGTGGTTATAAGCCTTGCCGCTATCAAATTTATCCAGGAGGCATTTTTGCCTTCGCTTCATTAGCAGGTGGTCTATCGGTCTGTGATATCAGGCCCCATATTGAGACACTGCTTTTAAAGTAGATGTGAGTAGATAGAGCTTAAACGGCCTCTCTCTGTCGCTCTGGACCCTGTTTTGTTGGAGGATATGAAAAAAAAGGGGGGGCAGCCAGAAACAAACGCATTGCACGTGGCAGCTGACTTTGACCAGATCTGGACAAATCATTCCAATATGAATAATGCTGTCTGCAGAGAGAGAGCGAGAGAGAGAGAGAAGTCTCCTGCATCTCACAAAAGAAACATTGTTTTGCTACATGTTTGATACAAAACACGCGTCTAAAATTTAGAGTTTTTCCAACTTCTTTTGAGGTAAAAGCTGGACGCTTTTATGTGTAATCACACAGAAGAAACAGTAATCAGTTCCATATGCAGCTGTTTAGAATTAACCACTAGGTGGCAGCAGAGATCGTCTTACTGTACCCGACATCCTTTATTCTCTCTGGTTCTCCCGATCTAATTTATTTGATTCACTGTAATTGGCTTGTGTGCCGAAGCTGGTATTTAGAGGAGTGTTGTTTGTACTTCAAAGGGGGGCAGCAGAGAATTATTTGTAGGCTCAAAAAGGCTGTAACTGATTCCAAACAGTAGGTGGGAGATCAGCTCTCTTATTATCTGCCTCTTCTTACATTTAGCAGTGCCACGTCAAGCAAATTCTAATTCTCAAGTTTTGTTGTAAGGTCTAATCCTCCCCCACCCCTAAAAAAGACAAAAAAGGAAGCTTGAAAACACCAGATGAATGTTCTCTTCTTGTCCAAAATATCAAATATGCCCTCATTAAATCAGGAATCGAGAGAAGTATGGAATTTATGTGAAAAAACCCACACATTTTCTTAAATTTGTACAATAACAGAGAAAAATATAGGAATTAATATAGTATTTTTTTAGAACATATGCACACAGACAAAATTCAAGAGTAATGACTTCAAATAAATGAGTAAAAACAAAAAGTTCTTACAAACTTATCACTCTAATAAAATGTTTGCATTGGAGCACCTCAAATGACTTTTCACAAATACTTAAACTTTCATTCGTGTATGAATGTCGCTGCTGTTTCCAGAGAGAGCCGAACAGATGCTGAGAGGAAATCTTGCATGGACCCGTTATGGAGCTGGAGACACAGCCCATAACTGGAGCTACACCGTAACATGAGATTCTGCTGGGCGGGATGAAGCAGCACCAAGGAGGGGGAAGAACAACAGAGTGGTGTGTGTGTCTGTGTGTGTGAGTGTGATGTGAACCTCAGAAAGAAAAAGAAAGCAAATTAAAGGGGCGTGTGTTTGGGTAAAAAAAAAAAGAGAGAGAAAGAAAGAGACTTACAAGTGTGAGGAGGGAGTTTCCAAAGTTTTCAAAGAGGGTGGCATATTCTGCACTTCACTCTCAGCTTCCAAAGCCTCAGCACTTACACAGCCTCGCAGCCTTGCAGGAAGCACAAATATGTGTGCGTGTGTGCTGGTTTATGAGCAACGGTGGAAATGTTTGCATTTCATTAACTTACCGCTGTTGGTGTAAAGGTGGATTTTAACCTTGAGACAAAGGGGAAGAGAAGAGAACTTCCAAAATGGGATAGAAAAAGCAATCAAACTGACACCTTGAGTTGAGACACTGGATTTGGGTGAGTCAGAGAGACAGGGAGGACAAAACAGTGGATGGATATGGGCAGAGAGCGACTTACTCTGGGACTGCTGCTGCGTTTGGGCATCCTGTTCACTGCTGTGTGTGTGTGCATTCATCTTTACCTGGAGAGAGGTTGGCAGGGTGCCTCAGCACCCTTGGCTTTGAGACGTCCAACTAAATCTAATCAAAAGTGGGGTGAACAGAGTAAAATGAAACAGGTGTCTGCAGAAGAAGCAGAGGAGCTGGGCAAAAGCATTAAAAGGAGAATTTCTTATGTTCACAAACTGAAGAAGGACAGTCTAGTTAGGAAGACTGAGGGAGACACAGAGGGCCCCTCACCACGATGCTGCCCGCCTCTGCAACTACACAGAAAGGTATGTTTGATATACCATCAACTTCTTAGCTCTTAATTGTTGTGTTTAAGATTTTTGTCAGGTTTATCTGATTCCTAGATCAGTGGTTTCTTACTGAGTAAGAACTACTGAGTTAATGCTCGGTAAATCCCAGAAGGGTGATGATGGAAGAACAGGCAGCAGAATTGATGCATGTTCAACGAGTGCCTCTGAAATGCTTTGATGTCAAAGAAGAGAGGGTTTGCCACTCAGATTTCTGGCAGTACAGGACTGCATTTACTTTTCTGAGACAAGTGAACAAGTGTTGGCCTAACACACAATGACAAATCAAGCACTCCCTTCGTGCATCAGCTGCAAATCTAAGACAGTCAGCTCTAACAAAGAAACGCTTCATTTGTGTGTTCTGGAGCAAACATTACTTTACACACACTCAAACACACACATGCATGAACTCCAGAAGCTTGACCCTGTGACCCACGAAGGGTGTGTTAGTGCAGCAGCTTAACAACCCTCCACTTCCCTCCCCTCTGCTGTCTCTTCATGCATTTCTCTTTGATTCATTTCTGCTCTCCGCCGTTGCCTTCATGTTGTCATTTGATCTTCCCATCCATCATTCTTCCTTTTGTTCCCCTTTCACTGCCAATTTCTGTCAACCCTCCCACCAGCAACACACACACACGGTGAGCTCTATCCACCCTACTTTAGTTTCTCATTCTGTTGCATTGGGATAATAAATGCTTCTTCGCTTTTCTGTCTTTAAATCTTTAATGACCTAAACTAGAGACAAAGAAGCCTCAGCACAAGAGTTTTAAATGCCGTGAAAAATCACTGCAGGGCTATCATTCCACGCCTTGAGATGGGCACTTGTGCACCATCAATATTACATAGCACCATATGCTCACTCCACCTAATTTCTAACATAAAATTTGTCTCCTAAGATGCCCCGGAGGTGCCCAGATAAAATTTTCTGTGTCATGCGCTGCTGCTATTTAGCTCTCTCGCTTCCTCTCTACCTAGACTGTGCTTTTCTTTCCTTTCCCTCTCATCTCGAAGACGTGTGTTAACGCTTTTGCTCTGTCATGTTACCTTGTCCCTCTCATGCTCCGTTTTGCTTCCTCATCTCTGCTGTCTGAATCACTTTAAAACTTCAAACCCGCCTTCCACTTTCTCTAACCTGTCTTTCTCTTATGTTCTCTCTTTTCCTTGAACATCGCTCTCTTGCTGTCTCACTAGCATACTGCTTTCTTCTCCCTGAACATATTCATGCAACTCAGATAAAATTTAAAAAAGCTGCAGGCTGCCGTAAGGAAAATTACATTTTAAAACCTAATTTCCGGTGAGGCTTTGTAAAGCATTGTGCTTTTATAAGCGCTCACTGATTTAGGAATTTATGTACTGAATGATTTGTTCAGTTCAGCATTTCCTGGTACTGTAAAAATGAGAGCATGTAGACCTTATCCCAGTCCACCTTTCTATGCCATTTAAAAGATCTGGGTATCAGTTAAGGCACCACGGCGGCACAAAGCCTGGGGCCTTTCTGTGTGGCGTTTGCATGTTGTTTGTGGGTACTCTGGCTACCTGTCATACTCCAAAGACATGCACTTAGTGGGGTTAGGTTAATTAGTTATTCTGAAATGCCCATAGGTGTGAATGTGAGTGCAAATGGTTGTCTCTCTCTGTGTTAGGCATGCAACAAACTGGCAATCTGACCAAGCTGCACTCTTCTTTGCACCCTATGGCTGTTGGGATAGTCTCCAGCTGATGCTAAATTGGGTAAGCAGAAGAAGATGGATGGTATTAATGCCACTATTGTGGAAAGTGTTACACCTACCATGAACACAACTGGTTTCATTCTCACTTTTACCTCCTTGTGAGCTGCGGTGAAGGTAATTGATAATTAGTAAAGATAATCGTAATTTTATACCTCTTCATATGGCTGGATGATCTTCACGAATTACATAAAAGAAGGGGCATGTGACTGCATCTATGTTACAGATGACTCATGAAACTAAACAGCTCTGACCAGACAATTGATAACATGTACGTGAGGCAGTATTCAGACTGAGGTGCATTAATAAACCCCATACAAATAGACTAGAGTATCAGTTGTTGTGTTCAGATTCTAAAAATCTGTAACAGATCTGCTGAAAATGCTACAAGCAACAGCTGAACACGAGTTTAAGAGTTTGTTCTTGAGAAGGGAAACAACGTTTGACAAAACAATTCAGCATTCAGCATGTCACATAATGTTTATTACCAGATGGCTGACTTGAAGTTATTTGATTACATGTAAATTTTCCGTGCAGTGTTGTTACAGAAGTGCAACGTAAAACATCAGGTCAAATGAAATTGACATGACTGGTATGCATTCCATTTATACCAAGCAAATTATCCTAAATTTGTAGTTATTTGAATAAATAAATCTTTGATTTTATAGATTTCAGATTCATTTTACTTAAAACTATTGCTTTGTGTTTGCAAGAGAAAATAATGTTTGAGTGCAGATACTTATATATGCAGTTTTGGTTCGCACTTTAAGGCCCTCTTATCTACATTTTAAGCCTTTTACAGTAATTGTGGTCTCCAGGTCTTCTCATTGCACATATATGATAAAGAAGCAAGTCATTAGATCACAAAATATTCAAGCACTGAACAAAGTAGGTGGCTGCACAGTTTCCTCATAGCAAGGAAGTCAGGGTTCAAATCCACCGGTCAAATTTCTAAGAGTTTCTGTGTCCTGTGCCTCTCTGAGTAATCTGGCTTCATCCCCCTACCAAAAGATGTTAATTTGTAAATAGAGGATAGGTTTGAAAGGTTATCAGGTTATACCTGGGATAGATTCCCAGATGGATGGATAAAGTAGTGGTCATCCATTTAATCAAAAATGCACAAGGCCTAACAGTTTTTGGGTTCTTCTGAGCAAAAGCGAATAAAAGTAAAAGATAATTGAAGAACAAAATAAAGCCTGTGTTTAGTAATTAGGGCTTAATGATACACAGATCTAATGTATAGCTGTCTGTACAAATCCATATACAATATTTTCTCTTTCACATTAGCTGCTTGGTCGATGATATTGCTACTGCACACCAGCAACTTAAGTACAACAGCTTTATAAACACAGCACTTGCTGATCTGTCATCTTTGCTACACTTTGAAAATGTCAGACATTAACGATTTTCAGCTTTGAGGCATTTTCTGAGCAAGATGAAGTGAGAGGTCATTAGAAAAGGCAAATCTCATTTTAAAACTCATTCAAGAGGGTAAAGCACAGGAGAGGTTGCTACTGTACCACACTTTACCACCTTGAATAACAGACGGTTGCTGACACATTCTGTCTCCCTTAATAAACTGTACAGGTATGAGTGTGAATTAGAGCCTCAGGGTCTTTTTTATAACCAATCTAAAGGAAATGTAATCTCTTGGCTGTCACACATCCAC